GTCTATATAATCAGGTTTTAAAAATATCTAAAGATCTAGTCTTTGGCCTGTGCAAAATTGGGCAGAAGGTAAAAGTTACCTTTGACACTTGCTTACTTTCCTATGAGCTTTCCTTCCACTGTTGGTAGAATAGATAATTACCAGTCTCCTGAGGTTTTGGAAACTGCTTACTCCTCACTTTCCATTTACAAGAAAGTCCCCAGTAGGGTCCCTGAATGAATTCCCTCCTGCCTTTGTATGGAATTTCAAATTAAAATGGTATCTGGATGATATAGTAACTTGGGCATTGACACTAACACCTTCACCTATGCCTCAATTCTCAATGAAATGAGTAAATGATGACTTGGGATCCCATCTGTACGGGTTTGCCCTCCCTGTGGTGCATGACCAATAAATGCTAACCGGTGGGTGATTCCGATGAGAAATTCTGTAAGGATTGAGAAGATTAGCCACTTTGTAGTGGTAGAACAACTTCCATTCCTATCTTAGCAAATGGTATAATTATTCTAGTTCCACAAAATAAAACCAAGATGTCATTCTGCTCCCGTCTTCCCAATGGAATCTGTGTCACCAAATTGTGCCAATCTTTTCTCAAAAATGTGTTTTGGGAATCCATTCACTTCCCTCTGTCTTCTTCTTTTTCTTTTTTCTTTTTTTTTTTGAGACAGGGTCTCACTCTGTTGCCCAGGCTGAAGTGCAGTGGTGCCATTGCAGCCCACTGAAACCTCTACCTCCTGGGCTCAAGCAATCCTCTCACCTCAGCCTCTCGAGTAGCTGAGACTACAGGCACGTGCCACCAAACACAGCTAATTTTTTGTAGAGACGGGGTTTCACTATGTTGCCCAGGCTGATCTCCAACTCCTGGGCTCAAGCAATCCATCCACCTTGGCCTCCAAAAATGCTCAGATTACAGTGTGAGCCACCATTCCCAGCCTCCTCTGTCTTCATCACCTATATTGCATTTGAACTTTTATGTTTATTTGTGAGAATGCATAGATCCTTTCTTATCACATTCATCCTTATATTCTATTGTGTGGCACATAGTAATTAATAAATACTTGATCAGTGAATAAAGGAATTAGAAGTTGCACTGGATCTTAAAGTCTTTGTAAAATGTAGACAGAAATGAAAGAAAAATAATTGTTATAGGAAATAAAAAGCAGATAAGACAAAGAATAATGGAAAGAATTAATATGGCTTATTCACAGGCCAAAAAATAAGACTGACTAGAGCTGAGCATAGATTTTTGGGAAGTAAATGGGAAATAGTTTTACATAGAAGACAAGATTGTAGAAGCAACAGAATTTATACTTGCTCTAGTAGGAAAATGCCGGTAAACTGAAAGCAGAACTTAAATATATGATAGTTGAAACAGAGCTGGGATTAATTCAACTGTGATATTATGAGGACTTCTATTTGGATGATGGCAGTGCAGACTATAAAAGAAAGGTCTGGAGAGAGAAAAATATGTAAATAAAAAGAAATTGTGTCATAGCAAGTGAATGGATATAACTTGAATCCTTTCATATTTTTCATAAATTTCACTAGATATATTATTTTTCAGCAAAGTCCATAGTCCCTTAATTTATAGCTATTTTTAGTAACATTTATGTGTTGTAGTAAATGAGATATACAAAAGATAAACTCTAAACCAGGGTTTCTCAATCTCAGCACTATTGACATTTTGGATCAGATAATTCTTTGCTGTAAGAGGCCTGCACATTGTGGGATGTATATCCCTGTCCTCTGCCCACTCGAAGCCAATAGCACTGCCTACCCAGTTGTGACAACCTCATAGGTCTCTAAACAACCACTAGCTTTAAAACTATATAGTTCCATAAAGTGCACAGAATCATCATTGAAAATATTTACTATTATAGACATATTTTCATACCACTTCAAAAGTGATACTTTTGTTAAGGAAAATAAATCTTATGTTAAATGTAATCATTATCTTTTACAGAGAATTTTAGAGTGAAGGGGTAAATCTTAGAATGTACTCACATTGAGTTCTAAAACTATCCCAAGGCAATCAATCAGCAATGACACAAGCGTGGCTACAGTGATGACCATCACTGTTACAACAATGTGGAAAACCGACGAAAGATTCCCACCAAAAAACACATTGGCAATTACCTGCCAAATAAACAGATTATTTTGAGAGGGACTTTTAAAGGCATGCAGGATTTGTAGAGGGAGTATTTCACAATGGTCTTTAGGAATGTATAAAATACCACCAACAAGGCTATTAATCAAATCTCAAGTCACTAGGAATGTTCTATCTTTTCCAAAGTACTTACATATAGACACACATATCAATAACAAGTACTCTTTGTTGAACTATCAGTCAGTGGATTACATTACAGACCTATAGTGTGGCATACCGATGTTTCAATACATGTATCTTTCAAGTATAAGAGAGACTTTGGAAAGTTATCCTTTCCTTCTTTCTTGAGTCCAACAAGTTACTACTTAAACAAACTAAACATGCTATTTAGATTATTTGCAGGGCTTCTAAGAAATAGCTGTCACATTTCCCTTATTAATACTGGATGTGTAATATCCTTTACTAACAGGAAATTAATTCTGTATAAACTAATTCCTATTTGTTACAATTTAAGTCTATTTTATCTTGCCTTTCCTCAACAAAAATGGGAAAGAGTTCATCACCATTTTTCATGACTACTCAGATCAGGAAAGCAATAAAACATTACCGACTTAATGTGTCCCATACTGTGATATGGTTTGCAAAGATAAAATGTCAGGCAAATGATTCCTATTCTCAGGAATTAATTCTTGGAGGCATACAACCAAACTTAAAAAAGCAAGTAGAGATCAATTTATAACAGGACAAAAAAGATCAAAGAGGATTTAGGACTAGAAGGAGCTTTAGGTATCTAGAGCGGTCTCCTTAGAGTAATCTCCTTTACAGCATCCCTGAAATATGCTTGACCTACCTTGGCTTGAGGTAGGGCTTGAAACATGCACAGGATTTGGAGCAGAATTACAGGCTGAGACAAGAGCATGAAAAAGAGCAAAGAAGTAAGAACAGGAACAATACCTATGGAGGATAAAGAGAAGATAGTCTGAATAAGTAGTGACCCTGTGCAAAAGAACAGTGAGACAAGAGTTGGAAATGACAGAAGTTCAGATACTGAGGTATCATAAAGAAGCCATCTCTCTAAGCAGTGCTGCCTGGATATGCAACATCTCCCACGTGTCACATACCACCATGACTTTGTTAATAACTTAATGGTGATATTAATAACATAAGTTGTAATGTCTCTCCAAATAGTATCTTATTTAAGATCCGTTCTTACAGATGCCTCTATGATATCCTTGTGAGAGTGAAAAAATCCCTTAGTGAGGCAGCTAGTAAGAGATATTTATTAAGGGTAGACAGCCTTTTTAGTGCTTTTATGAATTGAAACAGTTTGATTATATTTTTGTCAGTCGTACATTTGTGTGTGTACGTGTGTATGCATGTAGAATAAAGAGCAAGAGAAGGGAAAGTTATAGACACCATTCGTCTGCTGAGTCTTTGCTACTGTGGCAGAGATCTTGATTCAGTTCTGTCTTCCTGCCACTGCAGCTGGAAAGGAAACTCAAGTTTCAAGTACTAAAGACAGAAGTTGTGCAGGTGAAGTGACTCAGCCCGTCTGTAGGGAGTTTACCAGCAACCATGTGAGAATGCACCATCTGTTCTTACTTGTTGATCTAGAGATCAAATTTGAACCTACATACTGGGCAGAAGCTAAAATAATACCATTTCCTGAAACTAACAATAGCTAGTAAAGTTTCAAAAGGCTCTTAAATTTAAAAAAAAAATTAGTTCAGTCTATTTCTCCTTTATAGTCAAGGTAGAGAACTGGCCTGTGAGTTGTACATGTGTGAGGGAGAGAAGTACTAGTTGTAAAGGACATACACAGTGCTGAACATTTCCCTCTTCTGCTTCCCTGTGCAGTCAGTTCCTTATCACTGGGACTGACTTAAAGTAAGCCCTGGCTTGCCTCAAGAAGCCTGCTGATTACTTAGTGTATTTAAAGCTCTGTAGACATTTCACGTCTCTCATTAGACCCTTTCACATGGTGCACTGTGTAAACAGCCTCTAGGAACAGATCCTAGATCTGAGCCCTTTTCAGTGTGGTCCCTGAAAGATCCACTGTGAAGCCAGATCACGTTTTACTGCTCACTGGTAGAGTGGATTTTCAGCTGACAGCATAAGGGATTCCTGACAGCCATGTTATCTAATTTACACCAAATAATGAATTCTCTTTCAGAAAATATTTCTCTACAAATCCAAGTGGAATATATAACACAATTTAGAGCTGACTTTGACAATATATGTATATGTAAATAATATCCTATATATTTATGTTATTATTTATATTATTATTTTATGTTATGTATAGTTGTAAATATATACATCTACATGTATAAATACATAAATAAAATATATCTGTAAAACTAAAAGTTTCAGTTGAACTTTGGTTCTCCATGGAATATAAGATATTTTAGTTTTTAAAAAATAACAAAACCAGTTAGAATCTGTAGATTCTACAGTGCCTTTAATACACGTTGACTGATAAAACATCTAATCAAAAAGACAGTTTTGTAAAACATGTTTTAAACATTGGTACTTAATTTCTTTGTAAGAATGCCTTAAAAGCAACAACTTTAGTTTGGCTATTGCTAAAGGTTGGCAGTCACTTTGGAATGCAGTTGTATAAATATTTGTGCTCATGGTAATATAAGCCAAATCCACCAAACCTAATTTTCAAACCCAACTTTTGAAAAATTGTCTTGTAAACATCTGAATATCAATTCATCTTTAAACTACATAAATGACTACATTTTATAGTCAAAAAAGAAAATTTTATGAATTATACCATTTGTCGTGCCCTTGGGAATTTGCCAAACTGTATTATTTATAAATCTTCCTAAATTAAATGTGGCAGAGAGATCACCTGGGTAAAGCGTTGGGAAGGAACTGTGCTTACCTCTCTCGTCACAAAGCATTCCATAGGATATGTCAAAATGACAGTGACACCATAACAAAATCTTCCAAATGTTACCAGGTCATCATTTCTGCAGTAATTTTCAAATAAGTCTCCTAGATAATAATGTAAAATAAGTTCATTTACTAGATACTAAATGTTTGAGATAACTATCTAATAAATGAAATATTAGATATTACAGTCATGCATCACGTAATGGCCCACATATATGATTACAATGCTGTATGTTTACTGTATTTTTTCCATGTTTAGATACACAAATACTTTCCATTCTGTTACAGTTGCCTACATAATTCAGTACAGAAACATGCTGTACAAGTTTATAACCTAGGAACAATAAGCTATACCATATAGCCTAGATGTGTAATAGGTGCTACCATCTAGGTTTACGTAAGTATACTGTATGATGTTTGCACAATGAGGAAATCACCTAACAATGCATTTCTCAGAATGTTTCCCTGTCATTAAGCAACACATGACTTGTAAGTGAATCTCCATAAACTTCATTTCATTTAATTAAGAGAATAGATGACCAGGTCTAAATACAAGTTTTTGAATCCAATAACTATGTAGTTTTTCACTGATTTGAACCAGTACATGCTCCATGTGAAGATAAATCCATCACTGATAGTTTTTCTCTTATTATTTGCTTTTGGTAGATTTGCTGCAAATTTGTACTGACTTCTGAAAAATACTTTATCCATTGTCTTCTTACATCAGAATCAACTCCCTAAATTCTTGGGCACTGGCTTTGTAAACTGGTTTCTGGTCTTTGTTTCTGGTGAGTAAGTGACTTCATTATTTTTTAAAAATGTCTGTTAAAATAAACAAATTTCATTTTGAAATGCTATTCTTAGATCAAGAACAATCCTGAAAGGAAGAGTAGACCAGTACATCTGGGGAGCTGAATTTCCTGTGTATCATGCTATAGGGTTTCATTGCAACCTTGGGGCCACAGCAAGAAATTCCAAACATATGTTGCCTTTCATGGCATCTCATGAGTCCAAGTGTAAATGCAGTGATTCAAAACTGTGAAAATATGGCTATGTCCCAGAAAGAACATTAAATTTAATAAGTTCCAGACTAGATGATGGACTAAATAGACCTTGAAACAATTCTTATTTAGACACTATATTTCTCAGCTGCCTATGAAGAAATACAGGGATCTAAGTAGGGCGCAGATGTCATGTCATCAAAAAACAATTACCTACAACTGTACAGTAGTCCATGGAAGAAATAAAAAATAAATAAATAAATAAATAAAACAATGACTAATGCCGAAACAGAGTATTTAGGCTTGCTTATTTTCTGAATATAACACGCTTAGATGTTAAACTTGTGGTTACCTTTTTAAAATTAAACTTAATTGAAAATTAGGTCAAAGTCACTCAGTACTACACCATTTAAAAAGAAGAAAAACTATACCTCTGAACTGTTTTTTTTTTTTTTCATTACAAAGCTGAATATCCTAAATAATTTGCCTCTTCCCAAGATTTACTTGAAGTGGCTCTCTCCCCTCCCCCCATCAACTAGAACAAATCTACATTACTTTAGAACATCCCTTTTGGGCAGGAGGGGATTAAAACACAAAGGTGGCAGAAACCTGCTTCAAGGTTGACTGAAAAGATTCCAGTACTCTAAGAAAAAAAGACTGAAGTTCCCCGTTCACTAACCTCCACTAAAAAAAAATAAGCCCTACCGTCTTTCCAATAGAAATGTCGGAGAATCTTGAGTTCCCACTGCCTCACAAGCTGAAATTTATCTACTGAAAGAGGTTAGAAAAGAAGAATGCAGTATACACCAATTAGACTAGATTTACCCAAGGAGAGGTGGCCTGGAGAAACAATGTCAGCTTATTGCAGCTTGAATCTAAGTATATTTTAAAGAATTACAGCTAGGGGGAAAATGACATCAAACATCTGTCAGCTTTGTTTTATAGAGATTTAATTATATCTGAGCAATTACCACTGATAAAAGCTCCAGGAAGATATAACTAACAAAAAAGGTTTATGTCTTACAGAAAAGGCATTTTAAAATGAAGGTCCTGTACAGACCAGAGCCCACAGGCCATTTGCATTGGCAAACTATGTAGCAATAGTGACACATGGCAATGCTTTGAAACACAATTCTTATCAGAACTTTCAAGGTCACTTTGTTACCGCACTCTAGTGGCACACGCATGTATTATATTTTTGACTGCATTTGAATTTTGCTAAACATTATTTTTTGAAGTCATCTTCCTTCATTTCCTGAGAAATATTTGCCTAAAATCATAGTGATCTGTAACCTCTGTTCAGAATAAGGCTGCCATCCTTCCAACAGCACCCAAGTTTTCAGAAAACTAAGCTAATGGGAGCTGAGGCAAAGGCACAACTTTCAGAGGGTCACAGTTGACCAAAATAGGGGAGGCAGAAAGGGGATGGAAAGAAAATTGAACCTGAGAGTCAGAAGACTTGTTTTCTGGTTTGTCACCAGCCAGCATGAGCGAGTTACTTCATCTCTTTGTGTTTTAATCAGGGGGTAGAACTAGTTATTCCACTTCCCTTCAAAGGGTTATTTGAAGGTCAATGAGATAATAGACCTGCAAGAGCTGTGAAATACGTGAATCGCAGCCTATTGCTGGACTGTCCTGAATATTACACTACATTGATGATTGAATGTAAGGGTCAAGGGAAGTAGAAGAGAGGACTGCTCAGTTGTTGGGCCTGGGTGAATGCAAAAAAAGAGAGAAGTATCTTTGGAGGGAGGAAGAAAAGGTCTGGTTTTAAGGGAAACATAATGTTTTGTGATTAAAACAAATACAGAACAACTGAGTAGAAATGTCCTACAGGCAGCAGGTTGGAGACAAAGAGAAAGCTCTGGGTTAGAGTCAAAACAATGAAAATATCTGGAAAATTGTTTGAGAGAAGAGCAAACAATATGAAGGTCTGGGTTAGAGTTAAAACAATGAAAATATCTGGAAAACTGTTTGAGAGAAGAGCAAACAATACGCTTGAGACCTTTATCTGGGTGGTGTGGGATGGAGTGGAGTGGGAGATTAGAGAGGGTACAGAAAAAGAAAAGAGAAAAAAATTAACAGAGAGAAAGAATAACAATGATAATATAGTAATACTCTTTCCTCTAAGGGAGGAAAATTTGAGCAAAGAAAGGAAGTTCAGTATTGGTAAGTGATTCAGAGAGATTCAGGAGAATCCAAATCGAGGTTGTTTGAAGATTGGGAGGCCACTGGTACCTTTGAAAATCAAGCTGCAGTGGAGGAAAGCCAAAAGTCATGTCCTGGGAAGTGACAGTGTGTAGAAGGAGAGAGTATGGGCTACAGAACTAAATTGAGCAGTTTAAAAAGGTAAAAATTAGGAAATAGACAGCAGGGGGCAGGAGGATAGAGAGAATGGGTGGAAGAGAGTAATCTTGGAAATAGAACACTGGGCATACTTGTACAATAGGGAGTAGAACATTGGGTATTCTGGTACCAACGCACATCAACACTATAACACTATAACTGAATCTCTCACTTTACCTTGGGTGAAGCCAGTAAATGTCAAGTATCCACATGTAGCAAAGAATATACAGATAAATACAGAAATCACGATGGACATATGGATAAGGCGGGACCACTTAGCTACTGTGGGTTCTTCTAAAGAACTGTAAACTAAGAAGGAGTTATGGTGGCAAATAAATGCTGCAATACAAAAAAAACACACACACACAAAAGCATTATTAAAGCAAGCACCAGGGTTTTCTTTTTTAGTTCTGAAATTCAGAGACATGTACTACTTTAGATGCCAATGAACTGCAGTTTAAATATACAAATTTATTAATATGTCAGCAAATAATTTTTCTAATAGTTCTAGAAATGAGACCATTCACATCAGGCTTATATGGTCTTTTCATGTCACTCTTGATATAAACCAGGCCAGTCCAACCTTCTCTCCCATTTTCCTTTTCCTAATGACCCTTCCCACCTTAAGGAAAATCTAAATACCATCATTTTCATTCTGTGGCTTCCTTTGCCATTTGGGACATAATAAAGGGTTTGAAGAAGTCCATAACACTTGCTAGCTTTCCAAGTTAAGAAACAAGATGACTGTAATGAGTTTTCTGCATGAGAAATAGATTTCTTCAAATTGAAGCAAATTTTAGTGATGAGTGAGAAAAGTTTGAGCCTAATTTTATATTGGCACAAACTAGATCATATGCTGCTAATAGGAAGTCTAAAACTTAGGACATCTGCTATCCAGACATAAATATGAAACATAGCACTTTTTTCATGGAACAGAGAACTCCACATTGAGAAAGGGCCTTTGAAACCAAATACTCACCAAAAGACATAACCCCGACCGCTTGAATGGCATTGGGCTTTGCAAATACCCAAGCATCTTCTGTTTTTGGTCTAGAAGAAAAATCAGTTAACTTGATAAATTATTAAATAAATTCAAGCATCAGTATATCAGATAACAAGAAATAGTATCACAAATATAAACTGAGTGTTTTTAAGCCAGAAATTAATAAGGGGCTCCCATTAATCTTGTGTCACCATGAATACATTTCCCAGGAGCATGAGTGTTATCTCTTAACCCCAGTCCTCTAAAATGTATCTCAAATACTTGGACGGATTCTATTTTTACATATGTAAAATATCCAGACTCTGTAATCTTGTGAATTTGTTTATTTGCTCATCAATTTAACAGAAAGCACTGATTATACACCCACCAGTGAAGCTACTTTTTGAGGGAGATACAAAAATTAATAATGCCCAGTTACTGCTGTTCATTCTGCTCTTATTTTTTTCAGGCTTAACCTATCCAAGAAAAATTTAGTTGGCACTAAAATTTATTGAGGGAGGTAAACATGAACTAATGCTAATTGAGGATGTACTATCTTCTAGAAACTCTACTGTGTTATCTCATTTAATTTTCACAATAACACTTAAGAATTATTATCACCATTTAACACATGAAGAAAATCAAGCTCTGGATGGTGATATAATTTGCCAAGCTTCCACAAAAAATGAGTGAAGAAGCTGAGATTTATCTTCTTGGTTTATTCATTGCCATATTTTTTCCAGGCTGTACCATCTGACAGTGGCCTCAAATTCCCACCTGTAGATATATTTCTCAAGGGTATTTTGGAAATATATGCACTTTAAACAGCTTGAAACAGGCTACATCCTAGTGGAATTAAAATATTTGATATTGGCAGTGATAGGTGTACCTGGCTCACACACCCTGAGTAATGATGAACAGCAGAGGCTCTAAGGTCATTAGCCTAAATTGTTCTTCTGGCCTCCTTCCACTTATTAGCTGTGTGATTTTAGGCAAGTTACGTGACTTCTCTGTGCTTCAATTTCAACATCTATAAATTGAGGATAATTGTAGTATCTAACTCATTAAGTCACTATGTAGATTAAATGAGATAAAATATGTAAAACTTCTGGAAGAGAGTTTATCACATAGCACGTGTTCAATAAACAGTCATTAGTATTAATATTATTATCCAGCATTATTAATAAAGGTAGCAAAAAGTCTAAAAGTATGGTCAACTTCCTTGGGAAGGGAAGGCTTGAGTGAGACTCAGAACAATGCATGAAGAATGGAACAGGGAGATTCCTAGGAAGCATGAAAAGGCACTGGGCGTTTTCAATAAAAAACAGGAATTCATTCTAAAGATGAAGACCCATCTATTTCATAAGTTTGTTTATTCATTCTCTGTGTAAAGAAGGTACACACAAAAAAATCGTGTTTGTTATCCACACCTTGTGGGATTTATGCATTATGTTATCTTTTTTCCCATGTATGAAACAAGCAGTTACAGACACAAAGAAACTTTACAGAAAGGCTGGCCTGTAAGGGTAGGCCACGGATTGTTATAAGACTTGCTCCAAGTCCCAGTTTTGGGAGTGGGAACTACTGCCACCTGCTGCCTCCACTACTCTAAATGCAGTCGACATTAAAAGTAGCATAACCTGTTAAATTCCAAAGTTAATGTGAAAAAAAAATACATATTTTGTACATGATCCTTAGAAAATGATTTAGATCAGGCAGCTCTAACAGTTGTAGAAACTTGAGGATTCTCTAACTTTACAATATGTTTTAAATGGTATGCTTTCCCTCTTATGGTTTTTGCACTTGGAAAATATTCCCTCTTACTCCCCAACCCCAGTACAGATTGTGGTGGTGTCCTACTTTTTAAATCTTATATTAGTAATAAAATGTAGAAGTTTAGTTTTCATTTTTTCTCTTCCATTTAAATTTTTTCCTTAGGTCCATATGGTTCCTTGGGTATATTCCCGGAGTGTGAAACAATACCTAGAGATAATTTTGGATTTTCTCTGTTCATCATAATGATGATGATTTTATAAGATGGAAAGTGCCAAAAAAGATGTTACAGATAGGAAAATGCATATGTCTAAATCTAGGGAAAGAGAAGGAAACAGATATTGAGTATGGCTTTCCAATCATTTATAAAATAGCCTACGATTGAGTTCCAGATACAACCAGTTGTACAGGAAAAAAAAAAGAGAGAGAAGAAAGTTCTTGGGTATATTTTATGAGATTGCTGAAACTTTGAAACTCAACCTGGATGAAAACATAAAGTTATAGACCTTTTGACTTTAAACTGTAAATGTTGAAATATGAAATAAAATGTTTCCAAATGCCATCAAGCAATTTATAAGATAAGGAATTATGTCTATGAATTTTTTTCAATAAATGCAAGGGGAGTTTAATAACAAAAGATTATTATAATCAATATTTATTAATAGCTGTTATATTAATAGATATTAGTGTAATTTACCACATTAACAGATTAATGAAGGAAAGAAGCTTATGACCATTTCAAAATATATAGAAAAGCATACAACTCAGTATTTATTTTGAAAAACATGCTGAGGAAACTAATAATAAAATAGAACTTCCTTTACTGGATAAGGAATGTCCACCAAATCCTACAGCAAATGACATACTCAAAAGTGAAAAGTTCAAAATATTCTACTTAAGGAATGAAATCAGATAGGATGTTCAATATCACTGCATTTGGAATATATTATTGATATTCCTAGCTAATTCAATAAAATAAGTGATGTGTAATCATTGAAAAGATTGTGTAAATTATTTGTGCACAATATAATTATGCATATGGAAAATAAGCATATTCAGCAAGGTTACTGGATACAAGTTCAATACACACAAAACATCAAGTGGGTGGATGTACACTAACAACAACCAAATAAAATGTTTTTTTAAGTGTCAGTGACAACAAAAACACTAAATGCTTTAAAAGATGTGCATGATGTTAATGTCATGTTAAACTTTTATTTAAAGACACAAATAAATGGAGAAATACACCATATCCATACATACAAATGGGAAGACTCAATATCATATAAACATCAATTTACCCCAATTAATTTTTAAATTCAAATATAATAAAATACAGAAAAAAATAAATCAAAGAATAAAATACAATATTGAGGCTGGGCATGATGGTTCACGCCTGAAATCCCTGCACTTTGGGAGGCCGAGGCAGAAGGATTGCTTTGAGTTCAAGACTGGCCTGGGCAACACAGGGAGATCCAGGCTCTACAAAAAATTAAAACATTAGCCAGGCATGATGGTGTGTGCCTATACACCCAACTACTTGAGAAGCTGTGATGGGAGAATCACTTGAGCTTGGAAGGTTGAGGCTGCAGTGAGCCATGATCACCCCACTGCAGTCTAGCTTGGTCAATAGAGTAAGACCCTGCCTCAAAATAAATAAAATAAAATAAATAAAATATTGAAGGAGGGAAAGAAATTTAAAACTCAAAAAAACCCATAATATTAAAAATCATAATAAAGTTAAAGATAATAAAATCAATGGAAGGTAAATATAAAACATCCATATGATAAAATTATTTATATACACATTTAAAAATATACAGGTAAGCTAAAAGCTGGAAGATGACTTGGTCATGCATACACAGTTGTCCCTTGGTACGTGGGAGGGATTGTTTCCAGGACCCTCCAATGGATATCAAAAGCCATAGATGCTCAAGTCCCTGATATAAAATGGTTTAATACTTGCATATAACCTAAGTACATCCTTCCATATAATTTAAATTATCTCTAGATTGCTTACAATATCCAATACAGTGTAAATTCTAGGTAAATAGCTGTCATACTGTATTTTAAAATTTGTATCATTGTTATTGTCATATTGTTATTTTTAATTTTTTTCCAATATTTTGTCCACAGTTGGTTGTGTCTGCACATGCAGAAGCTGTGAATACAGAGGGCTGTGATCAAGAAATACTATACAGTGTATACACAGTACTCCCCTCTTATCTATAGGGTATATGTTCCAAGATATAACCTTGCAAGGTATCCTATTTACAGCCTAGCAAATGCCCCCTGCCCAAATGAAATAACTTCCCTAGGCCAGGTGTGGTGGCTCACATCCATAATCCCAGCACTTTGGGAGACCGAGGGAGGTGGGTCACAAGGTCAGGAGTTTGAGATCAGCCTGACCAACATGGTGAAATCCCGTCTCTACTAAAAACACAAAAATTAGCTGGGCGTGGTGGTGTGTACCTGTAATCCCAGCTACTCAGGAGACTGAGGCAGGAAAATCGCTTGAACCTGGTAGGTGGAGGTTGCAGTAAGCAGAGACTGTGCCCCACTGCACTCCACTCCAGCCTGGGTGACAGAGCGAGACTCCGTCTAAAAAGAAAGAAAGGAAGGAAGGAAGGAAGGAAAGAAGGAAGGAAGGAAGGAAGGAAGGAAGGGAAGATGGAACTTCCCTAAGGCAGAAAATATATTTTAAATAAAATGTTTGAATTTTAATTAAACCCCCATGCAAATTAATAATCAAAAGTTAAACTTGGACACCCAATTAAACATGTGTAGATGGGCCACATAAGTTTATCTTTTCTCTTTTCTGAGACCCCACTAAAATGCTACTAAAGAAATTTAAAAGAGGAATAAATTCATGAGGGAAAGGATAGTGGAAGAAGAGATATCCAAGGAGAAGACACTCTGTGAAAAGGAAACTGCATAGTTCTGTGGTGACTATTGAGAGCAGAAGATGTTGCAGCCGTGTAGAGGGAGCTCATGATGAGAAAGAGGTGATTCACTTTACAAAACCCCTGGATGTGGAGGACTCAGAGATACCAGAAAGCGACCGAGAATGCTCCAACAAAAGGAGAAAGGAAAGAAAATGGAAGAGCTGGGATCATGGATAGAGGGTATATAACACAAAAAGGAGGTAAAAGGAAGTCCTAGGAGGATCGTGGGGGAGCAAAGTGAGAAAGCAATCTGCCTAGAATGGAGGGCAGAACAGAAGGCTCTGGGATGGAGGTTTTCAGGAAAAATAATAAAATTAATAGATTATATGTTTTGGCATCTGGAAAAGAAG